CCGTCCAGAATGTGTCCCCTCCCTTCATTCCTAAACTTTCTCTCCTCTCTTTTCTCTCTTTTTTTTTTGAAGACAGAGTTGGTCCACTCTTGTTGCCCAGGCTGAAGTGCAGCCCGGCGCAATCCTCAGCCACTGCACCTCCGCCCCAGGTCAAGCGATTCTCTGCCTCCAGCTTGCCCAAACCAGTACTGGGATACAGGCACGGCCACATGCCAGCCTAATTTTTGTAAATTTTAGTAGGAGACCGGGTTTCCTCCATTGTTGGTCCCAGGCCTGGTCTCAACTCCCGACCTCAGGTGATCTTGCCCCCGCCTCGGCAGTCCCAAGGTGCCTGGGAAATACAGCCATGAGCCACCACTCCACAGCCCTTTTTTCTTTTCATTTCTTCTTTCTTTTTTGAGACAGAGTTTCGCTCTGTCACCCAGACTGGAGTAGAGTGGCCAACGTCTTGGCTCACTGGCCACTCCCTTCTGAGTCAAGTGATTTCTCTTGCCTCAGCCTCCCGTGTAGCCTGGGATACATACTACATCCAACCACCACCGGCTAAATTGTATTTTTAGTGGAGATGGAGATTTCATTAAGAAATCCACCCGCCTCAGCCTCCCAAAGTGCTGGAATGACAGGCGTGAGCCATGGCGCCCAGCTGCATTGTAGGATGTTAAAGGGCATCCCTGGCCCCCACCCACAGATGCAAGTAACACCCTCCCAAGTTGTGACAATTAAAAATGTTTCCAGGCTGGGCATGGTGGCTCACGCCTGTAATCCCGGTACTTTGGGAGGTCGAAGGGGGAGGATTGCTTCAGCCCAGTAGGTCAAGACCAGCCTGGGCAACATAGGGGAACCTCCAGCTCTACAAAAATTTAATAATTAGCTGGGCATGGTGGCACATGCCTGTAGTTGCAGTTACTTGGGAGGCTGAGGCAGGAGGATCGCTTGAGCCTGGGATGTCAAGGCTGCAGTGAGCCGAGATGACACAACTACACTCCAGCCTGGGCAACAGAGCCAGACTCTGTCTCAAAAGGAAAAAAAAAAAGTCTCTAGATGTTGCTAAGTGTCCCCAGGAGCAGGGCAGGCCCTCACTTCTGTGGCCCTGGCTTGCAGAAAAGCTAAAGCCGCTTTGCAACTACTAAGCTATTTCATCCCCACCAACAGCCCCGGTGAGGCCTAGGGTAATTAGTGGACTTTTTCAGGGGTTTTTTTTTGTCTTTTTTTGTGGTTTGTTTGCATTTGTTTTGTTTTGTTTTGTTTTGTTTGAGATGGAGTCTTGGTCTGTTGCCCAGGCTGGAGTGCAATGGTGTGATCTCGGTTCATTGCAACCTCCACCTCCCAGGTTCAAGTGATTTCTCCTGCCTCAGCCTCCCAAGTAGCTGGGATTACAGTACTACACCACCACACCCGGCTAATTATTGTATTTTTAGTGGAGATGGAGATTTCATTATGTTGGCCAGGCTGGCCTCAAACTCCTGACCTCAAGGGATCTACCCACCTTGGGCTCCTAAAGTGCTGGAATTACAGGCATGGGCCATCACGCCTGGCCCGATTCCCCAAACTCTTATTTATTGTGCAGTACCCAGCTCTGGGAACCTCTCCCCTAGAGGGTCTCTGTGCTTCTTCACAGTTGAGGGCTGCAATCCCGACAGACCCTTCACCCACCTTCTTGGATATTCGAGGACCTCTTAGTCCCTTCCTTATCTGTTATCTTACTTCCTCCAAGTTCTCTCCGAATCCCGGCCATTGTCTCTGCAACTGCAACTCCTGTTTGTGGTAATGGGGCCAGGAGCCTCTTGTCCCAGATTTCTGTACTGTCCTAAGGTCCCACAGTCCCCGGCCCAGATGGTCAGTGGGATTAAAAAAAAAAAAAAAAGAAAAAGTCTGAAGGGTTAAGTCCAGACGGAAAAGGAGAACCTCAGCCAGGTACCACTCCAAGAGCCAACTCTTACCCTCCTACAATTACAGCGGTCCATTCTGTCCCTTCTCTCTCCAACAAACTACGCTGCGGACAACTGGTGAGTGGCTGCGCTGAGCCTGGGGCCATGGCCGGAGGGCCTCCCAGTGGTCTGGGTTTCTCCGACACATCTTATCTGGCAAAGTAGCAAAGGACAATGAACGACTTTTTTATTTTCTCAGATGGCGTCTTGCTCCTGTCTCCCAGGCTGGATGTCACGTGGCACAATCTCAGAACACTGCAACCTCCACTTCCCCGGGTTCAAGTGATCTCTTCTGCATCGCCTCCTGAGTAGCTGGGATTACAGGCGTTCACTATCACGCCAGGCTAATTTTTGTATTTTTAGTAGAGACCAAGGTTTTGCCATGTTGGTCAGGCTTGTCCTCAAACTCCTGACCTCAGGTCGTCCACTTCTGATCAGACAGGTAGACTCCATGGTGAACTGACATCTAAGGGTTGGACAGGCATTAGGGCGCTATTCTCAATGCCTTCAAGTCTAGAACTGGGGCAAACTGAGGCACAGGGAGGGAATCCTGGGGATGTGTGGGCAGGCCCTCTCTTAATCCCAACATTCTGGATTCCGAGCTCCCCTCTACCCAGCCCACCTACCTGGCGGCCCTTCACAGGCCCTTTAATGCTTTCTCCAACTCTCGCCGGATACTTTCTGCCTGG